CCTAACCCTAACCCTAACCCTAACCCTAACCCTAACCCTAACCCTAACCCTAACCCTAACCCTAACCCTAACCCTAAATCCAACTCAACTTCAATTCCAGATCCTCCAAATAATCCTAGCCTCATTTATACCTAATCTGAAAAGAATTTTAATTAATACAGTTAGAATTCTCTCCAAAAAAAAATTAAAAAACCAAAAATTAATTAATAATTATATTGAAAAAACAAAAATAAATATATAATACTTTCTTACCATATATTATATAAAAATATATACAGATTATCCACAATTTACCTTAAAACCTCATCTAATTTTTATCCATTTAACTAAGCTAAAATAATTTCAATTTGAATTTAATAGCATTATTATCACTTTACTAATAAAAATATATCTACAATTTTACTTGTTTCTCAGAGTATATTAAAAATTAACTATTATACTAATTTTTAATATAACCCATACAATAAGTAAATAACATATTCAACCCAAGAAAAACAAGATCAACAAGATTTCAAAGCATTAAAAAGCTTTGCTAATTAATGATAGTGTCTTTAGCAAGAACTCAAAAAAAAGAAAAATTGCTATTTTAGTTTGCTTTCCCCATCATCAATTGAAAAGAATGTGAATTATATAACAAAATCTATGATATCTGTTACATAAACTTGTAGTAATGTAGATAATAGTAGAGGAAAAAGAAAAAAAAAATAGTGATGGCAGAGGTGAAAATAGCGGAGATAAGAATAACAAAGGTGAGGATGACGAAGATGGGAACGGTGGAGATAAGGATGATGATGGAGATAATGATAGAAATGATGATAGTGATGATTGTGAAGGTGATGATAGTAAAGGTGGTGATAATGGTGATAATAATAATGGAGATGATGATGGTGGAGATGATGGTGGAGATGATGATGGTGACAGTGTTAATGGTGATGACAAAGAAGATGTTAATAATATTGGTGATGGTCGTGAGGATCTTTTTTTTGTTGGTGATGATAAGGATGAGGATGGTGATAGTTTTCTTTTTCTATTATTATTCGCGGAATTCGCGCGAATTTCTAACACAATATCAGAAAACCAATTGTTGGCATTGTTGTCAATTCTCTAATTAATTTCTCTTTGGCTTGCGATGCAGTTAGCATAGGAAACTCGCATCGCAATTTTTTACATGCACGAATTGATTGTCTTTGCGCTAGCGAAAGAAAGCCTGGATGCAGTTCACCAACTTCAAATTTTCTTTTTTTTTATTTGTGATGATAACGAAGATGACGAAGACAATGAAGATGATGAAGATGACAAAAATGACGAAGATGGTGATGAAGATAAAGACGAAGATGGTGATGAGAATAAAAATGAAGATGGTGATGAAGATAAAGATGAAAATGGTGAAGATGATGATGATATGGTGGTATCATTAGACGTAGACAGAGGAGAAAAAGTAGGATGATCATTATTATTATTATTATTATTATTATTTTTGTTGTTGTTTTTGTTGTTATTATTTTTGCGAATTAATATTACTGGATCCATTAAATTAGTAGTGCGAGATGGAAGAGATTGAGATGGAAGAGGTGGAAGAACAGGGAGAGTAAGATAACAGCGATAATGATGTTGATTATTATTATCATTATTATTGAAAATATTTTTTCTTAGTGCTTTTATATGTTCAGGTTCCAGAATATCAGATAATGTTAAAGACGCGAAGCTTTGGATAAGAGACTCCATATCTATATAATATATTATTATTAGTTACATAAAAATAAAGAAAAATAAAAAAGAAAAAGTGCATTCTTTCTTTGAAAGGCAAAAGAAGGTGAGGGAAGAAAAAAAACGTGTTATTTTTCTTCCTTTTTTAAATGGTGAAAGGTGAAGGAAGAGAAAAAAATGCATTATTTTTCTTCCTTCTTTGAAGGGTGAGGGAAGAGAAAAAACACGTTATTTTCCTTTCTTGAAGGTAAGAGAAGAAAAAAACGTGTTATCCATCTCTTTATCTATTCCTTTCTCCATAAAAAATGGGCGTATACACTTCTTTCTTTTTCCCTACCCATTACTAACCGTATGTATAACCGTAAAGGTAACCCATCGAAAAATAGCAAGATACTCTTTTATATACATTACACACATAAATAAATGTAAAACAGACGATTCTTGAATATCACCTGATTTATCGGACAGAACAATGTGTCTCATGACAAACAATGTATTCTACAAAGATTAATAAAAAATAATGGCTGAGTAAGAGGAATAAATCAAAGGTGAACTGATAGAATAGAATAGAATGAATCAATTATATAAAAGAAATCTTTGTAGTAGTTATAATTGTTGACTTAGATAGTATTTGATTATTTGTTATATAAAATGAAACCTTAATAAAAAGCGACTTTATCAATCAATCATAATCTTGCTTGTCACCCAACATACAGAAATCAACATCAGATAGAAAAGAACTCAGAAATGACTGGGGATCATCGCTATCCAAGAGAGATAAAATAATATCAATCATATATCGATCCAGAAATACAACTATGATCTCTAACTAAAGTAGCTCTAAATAAATTCCTGACTTCCATATTGATTGTACTGAGAATTTCATATTAGATATATACAATAATGAATTCAATGAGTACGTCAATGATAAGAGATCTATGATATTAAAAAGATAAATATTAATAATGGCTTATGGAAAAATCAGATGCAGATAAAAAAAGAAACCAGCACCTATATATATGTCGAGCCACCAAAATATATCGTGATAGGATTGCCTTTCCAATCTCGTTGCATTGATTGTAGGTTTCCAACAGGAGTCCTCGTTCGCGGAGCTTTCTGATAGTTCCACTGTTCCGTTACCAACCTCCTCGGTTGAACTGGTAGATACACTGGTGCAAGTAGTCACAAAAATACTTTTTCTCATAGGATCCGATGATGAACATTTCTCGGGCTTTCCTCCAGATCTCGCACACTTCGCAAGCAGGTAAGTTTAACCGTTTTTCTCTGATGCATTCGTCGCAGGCTATTGCTCGACGTCCTTCTGTTAGGTGATAAGCCCTCGTGTAGTATTTGTCAACATACTGATGACATTGTTGGCATTGTTGGATTTGACTCTCCGGACGAATGTGTCATTTAGCCTTTTCGTAATTTTGAAACCTTGCAGTCATTTGATTAGCCAAGAATATTTCTCGTTCGAATTCAGCAGCCCAGTTCTCATCGGTCTTGTATTGGATACAGTATGGAATATGCCGTTCCATCACCACCCAATCCGCTAGGTCATCTTTACATCATTTGCATTGGTGATCCCAGTTTCGCAGCTTTTTTTCACACCAACACATCTTACATGAACCTCTTCAATCCAAAGTCCATGGTTGGTTCTCTGATCGCTCTCGCTAGAATTTTCTCATCATTATAATCATTCCAGGTATATTTTTGCCATTGTACTTTCATCCTTCTTTATAAGCCTGCACTTCCTTAATTTTCCTTGTTGCTCTGACTACTTGCGATGGTACGTCTCTGAAGTAGTTGTTACTGATATCTCGTGGTATCATCCTGACCGGTGTTCACTTTTCCTCAAGGGTTACTTCAATTCTTTCGTTGTCAGATTCTACCCTTTTCTGTTTCAGCTTAATCGTAATCATTTCATCTCAATTTCTTGTCCACATCAAGTATATCCTTTTGTTCACTTCTTGTTCTTCATACTCATCTTCACTTGATGACTCTTCCTCACTAGATTCTTCTTCTGATTTGTTGTTCTGCACGTTTTCTATATTATGGATGAATTTTACCAGAATCTCGCCTTTTTGGCCATCCCATTCGAACATCATTACATCTTTTCGCAAATTGATATTGGCGTTCGTCTTTCCAAGCCAGTCCATTCTAACTAACACACTAAACGTCTTGGCCTCCGTCACATCCACGTTGGCTGGAATTACGATTTCATGAAGAAATTGTCGATAAGTTACTTAGATTCACCGTTAATATTGTTCATTCGAACATTTGATGATCATTGGATTTTAATATTATTTTTTTTCAGAAAATCTTGGGTCACTATGCATCCTGAGACGCCAGTGTTGATGATCAAGTCGATGGGAGTCTTTTCGATATATGTTTCACACCCAGGCTGACGTCATCCTAACTTTTTGTAGTGCCATTCCCGTCCTCCGCATTGATTTCTTCGACATCTTGATTCTCTGGACGGGCGACGTTTCAATTAGCTGAGCGATGGTGATATTAGTCTTCATAGTGACCAAGTCTTCGATGATGTCATAGGGTGTGGCTTTGGCTGCGAGGATGGGTAACTCAACTTTTCCTTTTCTCTTTCGCGATTTCTTCTTCTCAGGCGTATTCTCCTCAGGAATCTTCATCGATGGACCCATTTCAGTCATTCCTCCGTCATCGTCCATTCCTCCGTCCCTGTCATCCACGATCGGATTTCTCGCTTTTCCGTCTGACGACTTCTAGTGTTGTGCTGTTTGATATATGACTCATGGCGAACCGCACCCTTTTGCTTCTTCTCGCTGACCAGATATTCGTGAGTTGCGAGTAGGGTGTTGTTACTGTTCGTATTTTGATTTCCAATCATCCAATATCACATTTATCTCTACAGATCTTTGTTGTTTACAAACTACATACGTACTGTACAAAAAAAGAAAAAATTGATGCATTTTTACATGAAAATACTATGAACGTAGTACATACTTAATTACATGTAATCATATTTTTGATGAATTCAGATTGAAAAGTAGATTTGTGATACTATAATCCGTTTATACTGATAAACCTCATAGTAACTTTTGTTTCCAAGTCACTTGATTGACTTTAGAAAGAATAGAATAAGTCTTTTAGCATTGCGAATGAAGTATATATTCTGATACAATATCATCATAATTGAACTGACAGCTAACCATTTTTTACATTAAGGGTAAGGTATCACAATTGAGATCATCAAATTTATGCGCAAACCACACGATTAACTACTGAAATTTTCACCAACCCGAGATTTCTCCCAACATCTATCACATATCACAAACTTTATATAACAACAGATCATTTCACATGCTGAATACGTACTACATTTTGCAGTCAAAATCTTTGCTCGTCAACAAGCTAATTTCGAAGTTATTGCACTGCTGTGACTAGGTTATTGGATCATAATTAAATTGCATTACACTTTCATCTGAATGTACTGGCAAGTTCAACCTAAATTGGCCATTCCAATTTGAAGCAATTGGACTCACTAAAGAATGAAACACGAAAAAAATGGTGAGATTCAAATATCTTGCCATTGAGGACTAAAGCTAAGTTTATTCATTAAAAATAATCACAATCATCATTTAATGCAAATTTTATTTTAACTTCACAAATTAATAGTATTTTTAAATTTTTTTAGCGTTTCATTACGTAAATATAACTGATTTGGAAAAAAAGTTCAGGCCTATAAAGATAAGTATAAAAGCACTTTTTCCACTACAATACATAGAATACTTTTCATTATTCTAAACAATCTAACCATTTTTTATTCCAAACTGCCTCGCATTTTACTAGAAAAACGTCCTGAATATACACTCTCCGACAAGGATATTCAGTTCAGGAAATCATATTATCGGACCAGGTGGACTTGGTTTCAGTCCAACACATCTGCAAAAACAAAGAGAAAACTGGAAATCTTGAATATGAACCAAAATCCCGATCGTCCATGTGTTCTTTCGAATCATTATAAATGGAATGTCATCTAATTAATATCATCTGGAAAATACAGTTCCAATGTTCAAATTCAACACGAGCTCCAAACTGAATTGGGAGTCGAAATTTAGTGAAAAGCATATGACATATGTTTAGAAGTTATGGTTTATTCACAAGAATTAAGCGAAAAAAAGTCATTACTTAAAAAAACACAAACAATTAAATGGGTTAATTTGAATCAGACAGATGGACAGATGAATCACATAATCGGAACAGATGAGCTTAGTTTCGGTCCAACGCATCTGCAAAAACAAAGAAGAAACTGGAAACCTCGAAGATAAACCAACATCCGGTCATCCACACATTCTTTCAGATCATACGAATGGAATGTCATTCAATTAATATCATCTGGGAAATGCACTATCACTGTCCAAATTCAACATGAGCTCCAAACTAAACTAGGAGTCGAAGTTTCAGTGGAAAGCACATGATATATGTTTAGAAGAATTAAGCGAAAAAAGCCATTACTTAAA